TATAATTTGAAAAATTTACTATAGAAAAAACTATTTTATCACGTTTAAAATTTGCGACATATAATTTGAAAAATTTACTATAGAAAAAACTATTTTATCACGTTTAAAATTTGCGACATATAATTTGAAAAATTTACTATAGAAAAAACTATTTTATCACGTTTAAAATGTGCGACATATAATTTGAAAAATTTACTATAGAAAAAACTATTATATCACGTTTAAAATTTGCGACATATAATATAATAGTTTTTTCTATAGTAAATTTTTCAAATTATATGTCGTAAATCCTAAGCATGATATAATAGTTTTTTCTATAGTAAATTTTTAATTTTATTTAAATCGAGTCAAAGTTATAACTTTAATATTTATAAACACTAATTTTTCAATTTATAAGATTTGAGGCCACAAAACCAAAAAAATTACAAAATCAAATGATATTTTTCACAGCCAATCGCCGATCAATAATGTGAAATTCAATGAAAATAACACCAAAAATAACAATTTAATTGAAAAAGTTTGCTTTTCATAGTAATTTCTTCGGCTTATTTGTTTCAAAAAAATCGAATGTTTTTCTCTTGTGCTTTTTCTTCTTTTGAGCTACGTTTTATGAATTCATACAAATTTATATTATTCTCAAAAAAAGTCTTTCGTGCACCACCCAGAGGAATGAAGCAAGCCAACAGAGAAAATAGTTGAATGTAATATTGCATCTTTGCCCAGTTTAAAATATGTTTCGATTAATGAATACATTCAGTTCGAACCCACATCAATCACTCAAATTGACTGAAAAGTCAAATTTTCAGGATATTCTCATTTCGTGGACCAATTTTCTGTGAATTTCATGGAACCGATCATCGAATCTTTTGCTTTGATTAGCCTAATATTAACTGAGGACCTATACATTGAATAATCCATAACGATTATTGCAGATAGTCAGATATATAAAGTCGCTAGAACATGAAATAGACAGTAAGTCACTTTTTCACGATATTGCATTTGCTCATTTTCAGTCATTTGTCAACAAAAAAACTAAAATGTCCATTGCATAATTCTCCATTTTCGTTTCATATATCTCGTATGGTTATCCTCTTTCCAACCAGTGCATTTTCTGATGAGAACGAATCGATACAACAATTCTGTGTTCAATTTCTTACCGTTGACCGATGACGCAAACATAATAACACATTCGACGCGATAACTTAGCTGTCAGTGATCCGATCCTTATGAAACTTGGACATGATATCAGTAGGGCAAGTACCTTTCTAACGCATATAATATCCAGTAGGTGGCGCCACTAGTATCTTTTATTTTCAAAAAGTTTCATTTCTTTTGGGACAGAGGGTGTATGTGTATGGTTTTTTTATAATCACTATCTAACGTTTTTCGGTCGAAACTTTCGACTCGAGTGAATCTATTGCGGCTCTCGTGATCGTTGATAAATTGGTTTTTATTACAATTGTATTCAATTTCTGATGATAGTTGTGACTTCAGTTCAAACATTTTACGCATAGTCTGTAAAAACCCAAAAAAAAAATGTTCACTTTTTTTGTTGAAATATTCAAAATAACCCAAAATGGCATATGTCTTTGATGCAACAGTCTTTAATAATAAGGCATTTGATAAATGTAAAAACAAAGCACAGATTATTTTATCATTTTCATATTTATTGGGAAACACATCCACACATTGTCTTATTCGTAAGGGATATCAATATTCGTTATTCTAATCTGAAATTTATTACTCTATTGTTTTCATTTGAAATCGGCACATACTTAAAATAATCATTTTCGTTCATGTCTATGTTAAGCTGAATCCTTAATTTGCAGTAATGCAATTGTCGTATCGAACTCAACACCTCAAACTTTATCCATCACAACGAAATTTGATATCTATGATGCAGAAAGCCAAAATCTCAAAACATTAAATAAAGAGCTAATAAATTTATTAACAGATTAAAGAGGTTAACCTCTTCTCTTAATTTTTGCGTCCGATAAATTTTCTACGTTTCATAGAAAAAATGTAACAAAACTTATTGAAGCAACCTTTCGAAGTGACAGGTAATAAGGGAAAAATTGTAAGAAATTTGAAGTGCAAAGGTCTGAACAAAAAAAAAAAAAAAAAAAACAAATTAAATATTTAATAACTGTATGCTTTAATGTATTGAGCCAGACTAGCGGTCACTACCCAACAGTGGATGTCTAATATGTACGGTATTTATAGATGCTTTGCTTTAAAGATAAATTTGCTCGTACGTTACGGTCATTCAGTTTGGTCGAATAAAAGCGAGATCTAAAAGTGCATTTGTTTTTGGTGCAGGTCCATTGACTATTGTAACACTTACATGAGGTACAATCTTGCTTAATTTGACTTCCTTGTTGGTATTGCACATTGTTGTAAGTACATGCCCTGCTTTTACATTCTTTGACTGCGACACATCGATTGCTAATGTCAAAAGCTTGTCCTTCTGGACAACGGCAACCGACAATGCAATATGTCTTAGAGTTCTTCGAATATGGTGGTAATACATCGCGACAGCTGTGATAAGACCATTTCGAACAATCTGTGTAAATTTGTTCAGCTGGACATTTCACCGTGCGACTGCATGCATTTTTATATTCATTGTAAGCTCGATTTTTCCTGGCTTTAAATGTGACGTCAGTATCGGCGGCGCACAAGTCATTTAAGCATTTCTGGTAAAATTTTGATACATCAACGGAGCAGTGAGTAAAAATGTCCCTCTTCAAACTAAAACACGCTTTTAATGCCTTCCGATTGTGTTCTGAATTTGATGCGCAGTGGTCGCGTTGTTTTGCTTCTCCAGACTGATTGCATTTATTTTTATATTTGTCGTAAATTACATTTTTCCATGCATCAAATATCTCGTCAGTATATGCTGCGCACAAGTAATCCAAACAAGTCACGTAATATTTTGAGACATCAACGGGGCAGTCGGCGAAGTTTTTCTTGAAATGAGAACACGATTCGATTACCTTTTGTTTGTGTGATGGATTTGATGTGCACCCTTTAGGCCTGTAGGGTTGCTGAATTTCTCTGCTCTTATTGCATTTATTTATATATTCGTCATTGATTGCACTTTTCCATGCATTAAATATCTCGTCAGTATCTGCTACGCACAAGTCATATAAACAAGTCTCGAAATGTTTTTCGAAATCAACGGGGCAGTTGGAGAGGGTCTTATTCAAATCAGAACATGCTTCGTATACCTTTTTTTTGTGTGATGAATTTGATTTGCACCTATCTGGTTTAGGGCATTTAATTTCAGTGCAATTCCATTGTCCATTCTTCTGACATTTGCATGTGTTACAATCTTTTTGAACTTTACTTCCGAGTGTGTACTGTCGGTCGTTGTGGGTGCATGTTTTTTCTGCGCATTCTTTGATTGCGACACATTTGCCGTTAATGTTAAAAGCCTGACCTTCTGGACAACGACAGCTGGCGACACAAGAAGTACTAAAATTTTGTGTATATGGTGAAAGTACGTCATTACAGCTGCGATAAGACCATTTGGAGCAATTTGCGAACACTTGACCGATGGGACACGTTACATCTGTAAATATTCAGTTAATAACTAATATTGACTTTATCACATTTACATTGGAAACCAACCAAGGTAAGATGTAAAACATACCTTTCCAATGAATAGTTTTTCCACTTTTACGACTGCATTCTTCTGCATATTCATCATAAACTGAATCTTTCCGGGCATTAAATTTCTCATCAGTATATGTTACGCACAAAACGTGCATACAAGTCTTGTAATATCTTTTGGAATCCATACTGCAATTAACGAAAACATCACTCTTCAAATAAGAACATGCTTTTTGTGCTTTCTGCATGCGTTTTGGATTTGATGCGCAAATATCTGTTGTGGATTTATAGTGCCATGAGTTTTCAGAGACAGTAGCATTAATATTTATGGCACCGTCTGGTATTTTCAAGTCCTTTGAATGGTCTCCATCGTACATTCCACATAAACCACTTGTGCGGCCAATATAAGAAGTAGGTGAATCGATGGTTATTGAAATTTCATTAAGTTCATTGATTTTCCATGTTACTTTTAAACCATCCGAGAATGTGGCTGACACCACACCTGTGTCCTCTCTACGAAGGTAAACACGATCGTGCAACAGAGCAATTGGAAGATATGATGTTTTATCGACTTCATCAATCTTAATAATGATTTTCGAATTATTGTAGAAATCAATGGATGTTGATAGACCCAAGTAATTTGCTTTAAGCGTGATTCCTGTTAAACACGATACTTTGGCCACACCATCTATGTTTCAGTTTATAAAAAGATTGAACAAAATAATAGACCTTTCGATATTGTGTGCAAAGTACTTACATGAACAGGGTATATGGTGTGAAATGATATCAATCTCGTCACCCAGTTGAAGCAAATGAGACGAATATTGACCATTGTAGCTATAGATCAATCCGTCAAATGTTTTAAAATAGTGATCTCCCCAAAAAACACACCGTCCAGTACATTGTTTATGTGTGCAATTCCATTGTCCATTGTCACATGCGCATAGGTTACAGTATTCCTGAATTTTACTTCCGTGTTTGTATTTCACATTGTTGTAAGTACATGATTCGTTTCTACTTGGTGTTGACTTCGAAGTTGTTGGTGTCGTGGTTGTTGGCATTTTAAGTATTTTGGTTGTTGTCGTTGGTCCTTTAGTTCTTTTTGTTATAGGTATATTGGTTCTTTTCACTTTGAGTATTTTGGTTGTTGTCTTTGGTCCTTTAGTTCTTTTTGTTGTAGGTATATTGGTTCTTTTCACTTTGAGTATTTTGGTTGTTGTCGTTGGTCCTTTAGTTCTTTTTGTTGTAGGTATATTGGTTCTTTTCACTTTGAGTATTTTGGTTGTTGTCGTTGGTCCTTTAGTTCTTTTTGTTGTAGGTATATTGGTTCTTTTCACTTTAAGTATTTTGGTTTCTGGCATTGGTCTTTTAGTTGTTGTCAATTTTGTTAACTCTTCAGAAGATGACATAGTGGTCGTTGACTTTGCTTCAGTCGAGTTTGTTGAATCTTCAGGAGATGACATAGTGGTCGTTGACTTTGCTTCAGTC